TCGATAGCTTCCTCCAATCGATCCATCAACCATTGCGAAGTTCTTTTGCTGGAAGATCCCTTGGACGCTCGGTACTTATCAATTGCTAGTGCAAGCAAAGGATGATGCTTCAGGTTTTCATAAAGCATTGACCGGAGAGCGGATTCTTGTGGCATTTCGGATTGTTCCAACGACCCAATGATGTAATACAGCTTTTGACGGAACTCTTCCAATGACTTCACATCTTTTCCACTGAGCTTCAGACTCAAGAGGTGGTGTTGGCTAAGGCTTGCACCGCGATCTTTGTCCAGGCTGAACTTGTTCAGGATAAACCATAGCAGCAAGCGGCCGGAAGGTTGCTTTCCTTCCTTTTGGCATTTCTCTTGCAAAGCTTGGAAATCTAGACTGAAACGGGTGCCCCTAGCATTTTCCAACAACTCGTGGCCCAATGTACGATCAAGCACTGGATAGTTTCCTACGCTGGCAAACTCGGATGGATCTTTTGCGGAACTGCACTTTTGAATCCATGCGACCAAAGGAGTTTCATCCCCTTTGCAAGTCTTGCAGATGGCTGACACAACCTGGTTTTTGAACCCACGGCACTCAGCTGCATTCTTTGGTATTGAGGCAATCTTGATAGAATCATATCCCTTTACACGCATCAATTTCTTTTCCATTCGGTATGGATCTTTCTCTTCGTCTTGACTTGAGGATGATGTTCTATTGGATGCATTTGAACCAACAGGTGAACCCCCTGGACTACCACCTCCTTTCGGTGAAGATGATGATGACGAAGATCCCGAACTTGATTCTTTACGTGGTGGAGATATTGATGCTGATTTGATTTGTTCCACCAAAGACGACAACTGATTCACTATGGTATCATATTGTTGGGATGACTTTGAACTTTTATCCCCTTTACTCTTTTTGGGTACCTGCTCACTAGAGTTATAACCCTTTTGAAACTTCCCCAACAGTTGGATGGAGCCTGAAGGCTTCGCATCCGGCATGGAGGAGCTCGAAGGCTTCACTCCGGCTTTGGTGGAGCTCGAAGGCTTCACACCGAGCACGGCATCCTGAGCATGGGACTGCTCTGCATCCAACATGAAACCACGCGACCCTGGACCTGGCTGGCTATGTCGACCCACTGGAGTAAATATCTGGAAAAACCCCGTGCCATTACCGGCTTCTTCGGATGTTGGTCTCACAGTTCGTGGCTCGTTTTCATCAATCTCTTGGTTTTGGATTTGATGCAACAACGATTCATAAGCCCCTTCTTTTTCGGTAAGAAGCTTCAACAACCTTTCACTTTCCTTGGTCTGTGCAATCAATCGGTCTTGGAGTTGGCTGTTGACATGGATCAATTCACCCACTTTCCCTTCGAGAACAGACACTTGTTTTTGGGCTTCAGCTTTGAGGGACATATATTCCGCTTTAGCCTGTGCTTTTAAAGACTCAACTTCAAACCTGCATTGATTCCTTAAGGATTCGAGTTCCAATGATGCCCTATTTAAAGCCTCGGTAGCTTCAACCCTTGTGGCATTCAATTCCCTTTGAGATTGTGCAACTTGGGTATGGGATTCATCAATGGCTCGATTTGCTTCGGTCTGAACTTGGTTCAACACTTGGATGGCTTCAGCACGGGTTTCCCCTTGGACCCTTTCAACATACTGAATTGCCTCATGTCTCAACTCATCACGGGATTGGGCCAAAGCACTATTAGCTTGTTCAACAACTTGGTTGGCTTGTGCAATGATAAACGGATCCATGGATACATGCAACTCATTTCGAACATTCGTTTGGGAATATGAATGACCCGGTGGCCGTTCAGCACCAACCCCTTGCCCCGGTGGCGATTGAAAAGGGTTTCTTGGCACTTGTGGTGAATGCTCATTGGATTGCAAAAACTGTGAAAGTGTTGCATCTAAACTCCGATTCGTATTTGTGGCTATTTGCAACTGATTGGGAACAGGTCTTCTTTCATCCGGTGTTGACAATGATTCGGAAATTGTTGGTTCTGATGGTGTTCCAACCCTCACTTGAAGAGCATGAGAAACAACACGATCTGACCTAGATCTTTGATCTGATTCCGAGCTACCATCTATCCTGGACTCGAACTCTGCCATCTTTTCCCCAATCAGGCACCGATTTGTGGACTACTGCCGCAATATGATCCCCACAGTCTTCCAAAAATTGTTCCACTTTGTCCGGAGCTGTAGCCCAAGGCTTTCTTCGGAGATGGAGATGGATCGTGTAGATAAAGCGACAGCACTCGTCGATCACGAGGGTATTGTCGTCCACGATTAACGCTGAACTCTTCCTTTGAGTCAACGCTTCGATTGCCTTCAGCTTGCCAAGTGGCCCGTCACGACTCCTAGTCACAATGACAAGACTCACCAAGTGGTTGAGTCCCTCCGTGCGATTGCACGCTTCGATAAGACCCGCTTCGTTCTTGGCTCTGTTCTCAATATGTGACACAATCGCGATAACAAGGTGGTTCCCGAAAAGGTTCTTAAGCCGCTTCAGAAGTTCCAAGTTTTCCTTTGACACACGTTGGACTGCCCAGGCAGACTGGGTTCGGCTCCGATCTAGAACCTGATGCCAATCGAGACACAGACAAAATGTTCGTCTGGCTGGCAACTCCGTGTACACACCTTGCACCCCAACAAAACCACGTGTTGAGAAATCCCGCAGCTTTCCTTGAGAATCCCACGTCAAGTATCTGCAGTAATCTGGCAAGAGGTACTGAGGAGCCAATGGTTGTCCCTTAGGCACTGGTACCGAAGACGATGATGATGCCGCACCCGATGAACCCTTTGGCCGCTGCTCCTGCAACGCCAAGCCTCTCGCCACCGACCCTTTTGGAGTGGGTGGTAAAGGAGGTTCCTTCAAGACTGGTCTTGCCTTTGGTCTTGAATCAGATGCTACGCTCGATGCCTTTGGCACTGGTGGATGAGACTTTGTTGCAATTCCCGGTGCACCTTGGGGTGCTTCGATGGCTGCCTTTGGCACGGCCGGTCGAGGCTTCGATGCGATTGCCGGTGAAGATGCGATTGACAAAGTCACTTTCCGATCACCCTGCACACTCCTTACCGATGATGTTGAGACTGTGGTCAAAGAACCTGTGTTTGTCTTGGCCTTTGCAATCACAACCCTATTCGATGGAGATGTACTTGTGTCTGGATAGCCTGGCGGTGGGCCCGATGGTTCTTTCGGGACCCTTGCATGGCCTGGAGGTGGGCCCGATGGCTCTTTAGGGAAATTTGGAAACTCCACCCAGGATGGGGGATGCTCAGGCTCCCTTGGACTCCTAAGATCCCTAGTTTCCTCTCATTCCCCTTCCTTGGAACTCACTTCCTCCAACTGATGCTCAAACGTTCCAATGACTTCTTGACGAACTGTAGCCCGAGATCCTCTCAAGAATTCTTCGTCCAGCACAAATGGATATTCGTTTGATAATGCACCTGTTGCTAACCCGTTTTCGAGAACTGCTTGCTTCTGAGATTGTCCCCTTCTTCCTGAACGATGCCAATCGATAGCCCGCCAGAGGGTGTCTCCTATTGAAGGTATTTTCGCAACAGACTAGAGGTCGAGTAAACGACAGCTAAAGACCAAATACGAAAATGCAGAACTCGATGATGTAGATGACGAGAGCCTTACGGCTGATAACCACGAGAAAGTGGTTTCGAGTGTAACGACGGCTATGGCAAAACAAAGCACGGTCGCACCCTTTTCCACAAGTCACTTGAGCCAAAGTCAGGGCAACAGGTGTAATTACCTATTGACCCGCTGGCTGGAGTTATATGACATGATTACTATGTCACAGTACATGCACAAACAGTGGATTCCCTACAAACATCTTTGATGTTGTAAATACAGGTCAGTTCAAACATCATGCATACTTGGAAGGAGCCCAATGGCTTCACAACCAGGCTTGTTGGCATAACTGCTTCGATTGGTTGGTGACACGAATCCATGTATTTGGTGATACATCTGCTTGGACATAATTGGTGATATAGCATGAGTTTATTCTTCTTTTACACATAGAAGCTTTTGCACACAGAAACTTTTACACAGAGAAGTCTTTACACAAGGAGCTTTTACGCACAGACGCGTTTACACACGGAAACTTTTGCACAAAGGGGTCTTTACACAGAGGAGCTTTTACATACCGGAGCTCTATACACACAGAAGCATTCACACACAGAAGCTCTTACACCCCTGAGCTTTTACACAGAGAAGCTTGCACATACAGGAGCTTTTACACAGAGAAGTCTTTGCACAGAGCGGCTTTACACACAGAAGCTTTTACACGCAGAAGCTTGCACACGGAGAGAAATCTTTACACAGAGGAGCTTTTACACAAAGAAGCTTGTACACACAGGCGCTTTTACACAGAGAACTCTTTGCACACAGTGGGTTTTACACACAGAAGCTTTTACACAGAGAAGTCTTTACACAGACCAATCTTCACACACAGGAGCCTTTACACAGAGGAGCTTTTACACACAGAAACTTTTACACAGGGAAGTCTTTACACACAGATGCGTTTACACACAAAGGCTTTACACAGAGAGAAGTCTTTGCACAATGGGGCTTTTACACAGAGAAGAACGACAAGAACAAGAACAGCAACAACAAAACAGAAGCAGCAACAACAAGAATAAGAACAACAACAACAACAACAACAACATGAAAAACAAGAAGAACAAGAACAAGAACAAGAATCACAAAAATGCGACAACAAGATGTGTTACAAGCTGCGGTATGAAAAGAACATCATACTGTGCTCTGCACCTGTGCGCACGCGCCGAGTACATGAACAACACCTACGCTCAGACTACTATACATAACCCTTATGGTATCGCCGGCGTGCGAAGCTCTACAACTAAATATAGTTATGATATTTACAACTCATTGCCTAAGATGAGCAGGAAGATGCTGATCACGGAGTTTGCGAAGTGGGCAAATCCATTTCCGGTGCGTGAGAAGTCCCACTGTGCAGGCTGGCGAAGCCTGTCCTCGTTCCAACAGCGGAACATGATGCCACCATTCGGTTCCAAAATCATCTCGAAGCGCAAGCTGCCTTGCCCGTCCACCCGTTGCAAAACACTCATACCCGTACCCTGGTGAACATCAACAACAGCAAACAGATGTTCATCTCCGCGAACATGATATAAGAATTCATAAGATGCAGATGCGTTAAAGGTTTTGGCCACCCTCATATTATCCCGGCAAGAGACCCCAAACAGTGTGAAGTTAGGATTCTAGAGGGAAAGATGGCAAGGACCCAAAATCATCAGTGGCTCCAAGCCAGCAGGACAAGAGCGACCCCAGTAGTCAAAGGATGGTGTTCATTCAAGGTGGTTTCTGGAAGAGGAGATACCAGGTTAGATTCCGCAAGTTCCCTTTGTGAAGATCTCTGTAGAAGATCGTGCGCAAGATCTCCTTCACAGGTTCTCTGTAAAAGCTGCTGTGCAAGATCCCTTGCAAGGCTATCTGTACAAGGTGTCTATTAGAGATCTCCACAGAAGATCTCTGTAAAAAATCTCAAAGTAAGATCTCTGTTCAGGCCCTCTAGAAAAGATCTCTGAGCAAGACCTCTGTTCTCTTCACCAGGTCGCTGTACAAGATCTCTATAAGAGGTCTCCTGGCAAGATCTCTGTACAAGAACTCTATTAAGAGGTCTCTTGGCAAGATCTCTTGAAGAGATCTCTGCAGAAGCTCTTTATAGGAGCTCTCTTGGCAAAATCTATATTTAAGACACCTTTTGGCAACATCTCATCAGATCTCTATGCAATGTCTCTGTACAAGATCTCCATCAGAGGTGTCCTGGCAAGATCTCTGTAAAAGATCTCTATAAGAGACCTCTGGGCAAGATCTCTTGAAGAGATCTCTGTGCAAGCTCTCCATAAAGAGCTCTGTTGGCTAAGATCTCTGTAAGAGACCTCTTGGCAAGATTCTTGTACAAGACCTCTACTGCACAAGACCTCTATAAGAGCTCTCGGTACGAGATTTCTATAAGAGCTCTCTATGGCAAGATCACTGCGCAAGCTCTCTGCAAAAGACCTCTTTGTCAAGAACTCTGCACAAGATCTCCTTGACTATCAAAATGAGCGCCGCGCCACAAAGAGAGCGATCTGACACGCCCAAAGTGCCGAGAAGGTTGCATGAGGGATCTCGAAATTCGCACCACGCCACAACGAGAGCGATCTGAGAGGCCCAAAATGACGAGAGGGTTGCGCAAGCCGTTTCAAAATGAGCACCGCGCCACAACGAGAGCGATTTGACAGGCCCAAAGTGCCGACAGGGTTGCGCGAGCGATCTCAAACTTCGCACTGCACCACAATGAGAGCGACCCGATGCGCACAAAGTGATGAGAAGGTTTTACATTTTCACAAAAGGTTGTGGGCACCACGAAAAATGAACATTGAAAATGTCAAAACGACGTTTTACCAAGGTCTCAGCTACTTTTTTGTCGAGATCTACGAAGTACTGCGCCCGCCACGAAAAATGAGCGCAAGGCATCTGAGGTGCTGCACCTGCCACGCGGAATCATCACCATTTCCACAAGCAAAGTTTGACGACAGGTTGAGAAAACGCGATTTTCGACCCTGTCAAAACGTCGTACACGTTCACCAAATACTGCGCCTGCCACACAAAATGACCTATAATTTTGACCCGCGCCTGCCAACGCTTTAGCAACGTGCACAAAGTGCCACGCCTGCTACGCGGATGAAAAAGTGTCCGATGTCCTGCACCTGTCATGCAAAACAACATTTTAGACCTCAAAATGTTCCGAAAGTGCCACGCCTGCCACACAGAATGGACATAGCTCAAAAAATGAGCATGGCGCGCTAGTAAAACGAGACCTTCAGAAGAGAGGTCTCCAAGACCACGTTTCGTGCGAGACTTCCTTCGAAAACGGAAGATGAGGGAACTTTTGTGCTGTAAGGGTCATCAAAAACAGCGCGCACGTATGATACCATGTCGAATGAACAGCGCACCTTAACCCTTACCATAAAAACCCAAAGTGTGGCCATACTGTTTGGGGGAACACTTTTCGCATGGGGCATGGGGCCGGAACCACAAGCAGTAAAGAACCTTGACGACATTTGACATCATCATAAGATTGAAAAAAATGCCGGAAAGTAATCTCTTCACAACAAAAGAAATGGCATTGGACTCCTTCATCTAGATTCTCGCAATGGACTTAAATGGCCTAGCCAAAATGGCACTCCACCAGGATGCCATTGAGAAAGCCTTTCATCAAATTTCCGTGCAACTCGTGCTGCTCAAAATGCATTGGAGGCTCCTTGGCCAAGGAGTTCCCGGCATGCTAAGCTATGCATAGCTATGCTATATCTGGTCTCCAAAGACTCTTTAGAAATCGCAGAGACAAAATAAGGACACCTCTCACCTCTGCAAAAAAAAACCTGGCGAATGGTGTCATAGTTCAGCACTCTCACGTAATCAAGCATACCAATGAAAGTCCATCTCTTCTCATCATTTACCTCTCACACTTGAAGGTGCTCCATGATTTTTACGTTCCCGTGCTGTCAAGGAACATGATCTGCCAAAGTTTTGAAGGCGCGGTGCACCAGTGGCATGGAGCGGAAAATGCGTGCCTCCTCCATGCTGCCTAGCGGGGCTGATAGTTTTTCGGGGATCATCAGCCTGAGGGATACAAATTGAACACATCATGTTGCATGGTATTTCATTGTATTTCATCATGTTTGAATCATATTGTATCAACAGAAGGAGGAACCAAATCATCTGGAAATCATTCCAGGACAAGCAGCTTGGTGAAGGCAGGATGAGGCTAGGGCAGCTAGGGCATGAAAGTTGATGGAGAGGGTTCTTCCGAAAGAGTGGGCTGCCTGAAATGATTTTGGGATGACCGACCCGATGCAGTCGTGACCAAAAACCCTATGGTCAGCACAGTCAGCACCCCTTTCTCTCGCTTTCCCTTGGACGTGCCGCTGCCTGCATACTTCTCAGCCAGGAATTGCAGTTTGATCTGCCCAGCCGCTTCGAAGAGCGAGGCAAATTCGAAACCATCCTGCTACCCATAAGGTGCCCAAAATGCCGGCGCCAAAGATATTGGACTGTGGTCATGTTCGTAACCAGAAACAGATCCAAGTTTGAGGATATTAACATAAAACATTAACAACAAATGTAATCAAATCAGAAAGGCGTGTAAGATTGAGATCTTCTGCGAACTATCTTCGCATCAAGGTGCCACCACGTGCCACCCCACCATCCACTGCCTCTGTGATGCCTCGCTGCAAGGCCCTTCGCAATGCAGCACCATTCTGTGGGGCTGCCAGGTTCACCACGAGCCCAGCGATTTTGCAGTTTTGAGGCCGGCCACCTGACGAAAAATGGATTGACAAATTGAAATCCCATGGTTTTGAGTTTGAGAATGGTTTCTCCAATGAAAATGAACTAGGATTGAACTAGGCTGGTTGCTGAAAAAAATGTGGGAGATGCTGAAGGAATGACGGGCTCTTTTTCTGATTACATCCGCGATTCCATGATCTTCTTTGGTTACCAACTGGCGCATCCCATTTCTAGCGGAATCTCACGACAGCTGCTATCCGCAAGTCCTATACTCTTGACCCAGGATTGCCAAATCCTGGTTGATTCGCCGTGAGTTACATCCAAAGCTTTACTGACTCTTCCAATCAAACGTGGGGAGTCGGAGTCAGGTCAGAACCTCTGTGACTTGGATGTGGGTGATGGTACTCGGACTACTTTGTCGGATGATGGTTTGTTGCCAGAGGTGGGGTTGGTGCCTGATGTGGGTCTGAGCGTGCAGTGTGCTGCCGTTGATCCTGGAACAGTGGGGTCAGGGAAGGGTCTCTGATGCCTCGGGTCTGAAGGTGCCAGATCTCCAATCGGTGAATGTGGTTTGTGCGGACTGGTTGGACCAGGGGAAGTTCCGGTGAGGTATAAAGCTTGGTTTGAAGGACTTGTTTGCAATCCACTTCTTTCATCTTTCCAGAAACTTCTTTCATCTTTCCAGAATCTAAACCCGTCTAAACCCCAAACCCTTAGGTCCGCCCAGAAACTCCTCCGGGCCTGGGACCACCGGGAAGATCACCACCTCTTCTTGACCCGTGTTCCACTCCACTCCCAGCAGCACCGCATCCCAGCCCTGGACGCCTCAGACTTGGGCTACCAGGCTGCCCCTACTGGAAACCTCCATGGATCTACGTTCCAAAAAAAGAATGGTTCGTTGTCGCATCACCCACCACATCAGCACTGGACCCTGTTTCACGACTGTCTGAGGTCCTGGTCTCACAAAAGGATCGGTAAAGTCTTACCGAAACATTTCCATCAGACTTTCATCGCGATTATATCGGATTGGTGGTCAAAAACCCCGGTTCTGAAAACCCCCCATGAAAATGATATGCTCGTCAGTGGGGATCGGAAAAGGTGTTTTTTTTGGGATTTGTTTGTTTCTTTTTTGTTTTTTTTCAGTCTGGGGCACTTTTCCTTGCTATGTGCTACATTTTGGAGCGAAAACCTGTGGCATTGGATGCTATCATAGTGTTAGTTGGTTTGAGGTTTATTTAGGGTTGGTTTAGGGTCATTTAAGATTGGTTTCAGGTTGGTTTAGGGTTCATTAGGGTTGGTTTAGGGTTGGTTTAAGGTTTATTTAGTGTTGGTTTAGAGTTATTTAGGGATGGTTTAGGGTTGGTTTAGGGTTTCTTTAAAAGTTGGTTTAAGGTTTATTTAGGGTTGGTTTAGGGTTTATTTAGGGTTGGTTTAGGGTTTATTTAGGGTTATTTAGGGTTATTTAGGGTTGGCTTAGATCTATTTAGGGTTGGTTTAGGGTTTATTTAGGGTTGGTTTGGGGTCATTTAGGTTTGGTTTAGGGTTTATTTAGGGTTGGTTTAGGGTTATTTAGTTTAGGGTTGGTTTAGTGTTCATTTAGGGTTGGTTATGTCGGGTTGGTTTAGGGTTGATTTAGGTTATTTAGGGCTAATAGGGTTGGTTTAGGATCTATTTAAAGTCTGTTGAGGGTTGGATTAAGGTACATGTAGAGATACAAGGTTTGTATAGATAGATGGATAGATGGATAGATGGATAGATGGATAGATGGATAGATGGATGGATGGATGGATGGATAGATAGATAGATAGACAGACAGATAGATAGATAGATAGATAGGTAAAGCATGGTAAAGCATGATAAAGCATGGTAAAGCATGGTAAAGCATGGAAAAGCATGGTAAAGCATGGAAAAGCCACAAAAGTCACAAAAGCCACAAAAGCCACAAAAGCCAGGCTGGAAAACAAAAAAACATAGCCCTCCGATCAGAAATGCAAGCATCAACTTGAAAGACTGGAACATGAAAAATCCTTCAAACTACCAAACAGTTCTACATTATATAAAACTGTATATATATATATGCAAAGCACACAATGGTATAGTTCCAAGTGCACAGCCCGCCACCTCACGAAGTGCAGCGGGGACGCTCGAAGGCAAAAGGTCTTTTCCAAGACCACCGGCGCAGTCGCTTCAGCTTTATTAAGCACCCTCCCTATGAGGAAATGGGGACATTGGGCCGTGTCAGTCATACGGGTACTCATGATGGCAACGGAAAACAAGACAATCGCACTCTACTCGACGCAATCGTCAACTGCAGAGATTTATCTAAACCGTTCACCAAAAAGGAATCTCTGAAATGCACAGATGGACATGTTGCATGGATGTGCAACTCACACGGGGGAAATGTTATCAATCAAACTCCATGCCCGGTGGTGCATCCACTGCACGCATGCCTTGTCCATCAAAGTGCCTAACTGGATCGGCATCGACCTCTTGGAGGTTCTGCCTATTGCACATGGCACAAGGTCGTAGGACTCGAACCTCGTGGCCAAAGTCATAGATTTCATCACAGTCGTCATGCAGGTGCCAAACATCCGAAGCAATCTGAGTGAAAACTTCTTCGCCTTGAGGGCACGTTCGAAAGTGGGTCTGCAAGGCCGCTCTGGCTTCATACCCAGCACCCAAGTCTTGGGTCGCAATCTGGAGAGCACGCTGTCGCTCGATCGCAGTGTTGCGCATCTCCACAAAAGCTTGTTGGGCTCGTCGATACCCCAAGGTTCTTCTCTCAAATGCTCCTCGGAGCTCATCATACATCACAGCAAGCACATTCGCTCTTCGGTTGAGCGTCTCCAAAGAAACAGTGGCTGTGTCAGCCCGGTTAGAAACCGCGGCAAGGGCAGCAGTGGCCGTATCGGCCTGCAAATTCGCAGTCACCAGGGCAGCATGCGTATGATGGAGCTGCATCTGACCTCACGCAGGTCATTCTCCAGTTGAAGGCAGCGTCGTCGCATCCAGAAAAATGCCAAAATGTCAAAAACCAGAAAAATCACCAAAAACAACCAGGGCAAGTAGTTGTTAGCCCCTGTTGCCGCGATTTCCAATCCAGCTGTGAAACACATCTCTGTTGAAGCTTCAGCCACCGGAAAAACACAAAGGTTCCAGCACAGCAGTGTCTTGAACACATACTTCAGCAAGTCCGTGGCCGGGAAGCTTGTAGCGCCATGGCTCGCGGCGTTGACATACTCAATCACCGCCTCATTATGAGCAAAGCACTCCTGCATTGGGCTCAGGGATCTCTTCATTCTCAAAAGTTTCGTCATACTCATGGATTTCGGTCTCTTCAAGGATCTTGGAGGGCTTTTCAAAGTGGTCATACTTTGGGGTCTTGATCTCGGCAGTGGGCAAAGGCTTTGAAGAAGACTGAATTTCAGCTTGTCGCTCTGAAAGTGACTTCTTTTTGGCAGCAGTGTAGGCAGGATCGTAGAGGAACTTCACCGTGGCATGTCGAAGTCGATCTACCAGGCTCTGACGTGTTGACATTTTCGTCAGGCCATCTGAAAATTTGTGTTCGCTGGAAACCCAGCGTAGCTGTCCACCCAAACTTTGAAGCTGCTCCTTCACCACCCTGATTTCAAGGCCAGACCGCTTGTCCACTGCAGACATCGATTCCTTGTGGTAAGAATCGTAGACAGATTTTGCGTCTGTCACCATGGTGGGCTGCAGGGTCGACTTCACCTGTAAAAGGTCTGCCAGCTTCAGGTGGGGCTTGAGCAAGTGCTCGAAGTAGCGACATGCAAATTCTGTCGCATCAGCAGCACAACCAGCAGCTTGGGACTCGGCTGCCAAGGAACTTCTGGCAACCCTCGGCAACTTGAAACTTCGCCAGTCCAGGATGTGGTAGACATCCTCACCAGTTTCCAAAATCCCTTTCGGGGCAAGGAGGACGAAGTAGCCACCCTGTGAAGTGCCGTCAGCTCGGCTGCAAAACGAAGCATCAAAAGCTGTCACCAATCTCCAGTCAGACATCGGCCCAAGAGGCTCAAAAGAAAGTCCAACATCAGCATTGGCTTTTGCAAACTTCAGCAACTTGTTTGCTTCAGAAACTGTGGAAGCTAAACCTTTGCTAACATCGCCAGAAAGCATGGAGGTACTGGCCTGCAAATGGGGCGAGCTCTGCACAGCTGGCCAGGATAAACTTCCCATCAAACCACGTAGTGCAGTATAAGTTCCGAACTGAAAGGCTTCTCAGGGCCCACATGTTTTCCCAGCGTCATAGGTTTCAGGCGCTGGAGGTTTTGGCCATGCTTGAGGCTGAGGGCATCACCATCGCGCTTGATCGTAGCGCCACAGTACTCAAGGTCAGGGCCAGTTTTCCATTCATGAAAACTGAAAGACTCCTTGAGGGCGGAGATCACATGTTGACATACTGCCGAAGATTCAAGTCCAGCTCCCAGGAGGTCGTCGACATGGATGCAAATCATGCCAACCAAACCATCCTCGCCGACACCCAATTTTTCATGAGGAACTTCAGGAAAAAACATCTTCAAAAATCAAAAATGAGCAAGGGTCGAGGACGTGAAGGACCAGCTTGAGTTCGGTCAGGCGTCTGGTCGCCTCCAAATACCATCTTCTGGGAACATCCAGTTGGCCGTAGCACGGCTTGTAAAGCAACATCCTGCAGTCTTCAGAGGCACCAAGAAGCTTCAAACATTCAGAAGGCAGCTTCACTGACACCCAGAGTTTTCGTTCTTGGGGCAGCCCTTGTAGGAAGACGGTCGAAATGTCCGCGGTCCATTCCTTCCATTCCTTCCATCCCAAATTCACCGCAAGGGACAGCAGCATGTTGCGGCTCAACCTGGAAGTCGTTGGGCTGGAAGTATCAAGTCCAATGGTCAGGGCGTCATATAGTCGTTGTAACCCCTCACGATCAACCTGGCTTTTGCCCTTGGTGATCCATCTGGGTGTTTCGACCATGTCAGAAGCATTCTGGCCGTCAAAGTTCGAGCACTGTCGGCATCGGAGGCCGCGTCAAAAGTCCAGACCTCATGCTCGAAGAACGATCTCAACTCCTTGCACTTAGCTTCTTGAAAGAGGGCCTTCTCATCAGCAGTCAAGGTCTTTTCAGTGACCGTCTTCCTGCCTTTGGTCTGCTGTCGAACCATGTTGGTGCGAGCTTCACGGCCAAGTTTCTTCGCAGACTGGTTGGAGTACATGCAAAGCTCGCGACGAGCAGCACCATTGATCTGGAAGATAGAGAGGCCAGTCCGTGCATGTCGATTGGACTTCTGCTGAGTGCCATCGTCGTTGAGGATGTTCACAGAGCCGTCAGGGCTTTTCATGACAGTGATCCGAACTGGATCCAAGTACTGCAGGTCAATGGGCACGTCGGGGAACTTGGAGATGTCGACAGTGGAGTGTCGAGGCGTCGCATGATGACGTAGAAGACAACCAGCTTTGACTTCCCAGAAGTCAATGACCTTGTCAGTCAGTTGGAAGTAGCCCGCAGATTCATCAAAGGTCCATCCTTTGGGCAGCTGATCGGTCTCGACATCCTGAACCGCAGAGGCCTGGGAGAAGTTGACATCTTCATCGGTTTTGGGAGGCTTCTCATAGGGCTCAGTTCGGTTCTCACTCCGCAGTGGATTGGGCATCCGGCCAAAGATAGCCGTCTCTTGCCGTTGGAACCTTCTCCTTCTGGCTGCAAAGTCTTCAGGGCCGGCAGGCTCATAGAGCGCAGCTGTAGCTGGAGCCAAGTAGGGCACATATGCCGGTACTAGAGCTGGTGCCGTTGGAGAGTCAAGCTCAGGGAAGTGGCTCGGCACCGGGGGAGCTCCAGTCGCAATGGGTTCCAGCATCATCACAGAAGGTGGTGTGGAAGGTTCTCCACTGGGTTCAGGTTCATCTCCAGTCACATCAACGGTCGTAGTAGAGATTGGTCGAGCTGCAGTGGGCAGCGTCGGTGGGGGAGGCATAGGTGCATCACCTCCATCTTCATCATCATCCAAGGCCGGAAGTCCAGTGGCCGAATCAGCTGGAGTCGTTGGAATGGCTTCAATGTCGCCAGTCTGGGGGCTCAAGTCCAAGTCCAACCCACCAGCTGGTCCAGGAGACGCAGGAGTAGATGGATCAAGTCGAGGTCGATGCCGCAGAGGTTGGCCATCATCACCATCGCCCATCTCCTCTTCATCGGACATCACCTCCTCGATGTTGCGCTTGTTGGCGCGGTTGAGGTCCAAGAACCGGGTCACACCGCGGGATGTCAACTCCAAAACTGATTTTCGGGCTTCAGCAATGTCCCCAACCAAGGTGTCAGCGGCTTGTCGAAAGTCAGGCCGTACATGGTGAGGAGCAAAGCACATCGAAGCAGCTGGCTTCCATGTGATAGCCAATACTGAAGTGGCTTGCCATCAGCTTGATCTTCTCAGAGAATCACTCTTGCAGGGCCCAGCCATCTGATCTTGCACAAGTCGCTGGCTCTGGCATCACGCCAATACCAACATTGTTGCCCAGGTTGAAGAAGGATGTTGGTGCCGGCGTATCGCCGAAGCAAGGCCCTTCTCAAACGTTGATCCTCATCAGCACGGATCAAGGCCATCTTGGCAGAGGTTCGAAGGGACAGGGTCTCCTCAAAGGTTTGAGAACCTCCAAGTTGAGAAGGTGCGATCTCCTCAGAGAGCAAGCCACCAGAAAACTGTGGCTGGTAGCCCAAAACCCACTGTGCCGGTGAAAATCCAGCAACCGTGCACATGGAGTTCATCTGAGGCACCACATAGGACAGGGCTGTTTTGATGCCTTCTTTGTTGTTCAGGCCACAGTCGTAGAGAAAGATCTCCACAGCTTGGCGCAGCATTTGATGTCTGCGCTCCACAGTCCCAAGTCGGGTATGAGCTTCACCAGGAGCCATGTCGTGGGTCACCCCAAGGTCCGCAAAGAACTCCTTCATGTCATCAGAGGCCCATCCACGGCCTTCATCAGTGGTGAGCTGGCGTGGGATGCCAAAGATCCGGAACCATCATCGCTCCAAGGCTTTGATGAAGTCAGTTCACTTCTCACCACCAACAACCGTCGCCTCCTGGAACTTTGAAGCGAGGTCAATCACATGAAGGATGGGGATCTTTTGATCGTTGACCTTGATCCACATGACGTCTGCCTGAACAACACCGTTGAACTTGGTGGCTGTAGGCACAGTTGAAGGAGATGCAGCATTGGGCTTTCGATAGCGGCTGCATGAAGCACAGTTGTAGTTCTTGGCCACATCGGTGATCACATCAGAAGCACCACGGCTGGCTAAAAGTTCCACCAGCGCATCCTTGTCAGGGTGCCCAAGATTCCTGTGCAATCGCTGCACAGTTCGAACTGCATCTTGTCGATTGGTGGCCAAGAGCTTGATAAGCTGGCCAGCATGCTGGCGATCTTCATTGACGGCCCCTGCAAAGTCCATCACAGAGGGCATCTCATCAGTCATCATGGCTGCAGCGATCATACCAACAAGTCCAGGCTGGTAGTTCTACATGAACCTGGTTCGAAGTTCAATCACAGGCGCAGATCCTTCCAAAGGGTAGTGTTGATGAGAACCATCGCATTTGCGCTGCAGCTCGAGGAACATGGCACGCTTTGTAGTCTGCACTGCAATGGCCTTTTTGGTAGGCTTCCAAATTCCATCCACATCTTGGCATTGGGCACCGTAGGCACAGGCATCAAACTCAGCTCGATAGTCGATAGCCAGGAAGCTTCATCAGGGCCGTAGTGCGCCAAGATAGAGCATCTTTGGGTTGCTCCAGGTGGCAGTGGCATCCATTGGCAACTTGTCGCTCAAAGATGCGGCGGCAAAACTGAAAGTGCACAGTGTGGTGCCATTCACGGAGTTTACGCAAGTGCTCCTGCTGCTCAGGGCTTCGGGCTGTCAAACTCTGCATCCGGCTCCAAAGCTTGCAAACCGGTGAGGGCCAAACCTCATCAGGAAATTCAAGTTCAAGGCGCTCCAGGTCCAGAAACTGCTTTCGGTGGTCCGGCTGGTCAAAGTCCCAGCCATTGTCCAAGGAGAAAACTTCAACCTCAGCTCCAAGGCTTTCAGCTACAGAGGCTACTCGACCACGTCCAGCATAAACTTCCCAAATCACCCTGCGACGAGTGGGCTTGTGGAGCTCGTCAGTCACATAGGCATGGTACTGGTTGCTCTCTGCTGGCAGGAGCTCATCAGCAGTGCGCAGTTCATGTCGCGGAAGAAGACATTCACCAGGTTCTGGTTCATGTTGAACTTCAACAGCAGGAGAGTCATCCATCAGGGCAAAAGCCCATAGGGTCAACTTCGCCGGCTGGAGCCAGCCGGAGGTCAAAATCCAAGTCCAAAGACCTCGTAAAGTCCATCGGCTGTTCAGGCTCCCAAAGAGGCAAGAGATACTCACCGTGAAGTCCAATGGTGGCATCCATCCAAGGCCCATTGTTCAGGCGAACAAGGCGCTGTTGAAGTCCATGATGACGCCCAGAGCCTCGATAATGGGGCTGCCGCACAACATCGGCGTTTCACCCTTCAAGAGGAAGACCTGAGCATGGCCATAGGAACCAGATACGCACATAGGCATTTCCATCACCCAGTGACACCAGCTTTCACCATCACCTCCAAAGTGGACCTTGTGGCGGCATCGGAAAAAGTTGATCTTCCGATGGGGTAGCCCTAAGATGCCAGGAAGGTCAAATACCTTCTCGCAGGACCAAAGCCACATAGAAAGGCCGATGCACCAGGGTCAAGCATCGCCACATCAGCTCGCTCATGTCCTTGGGCATCTTGAAAGGTCACATGGGCATCTTCAAGCTGGGCAACGGGCTCCGTTGCTGCTGCAGGGCGCTTGGCGCCAGTCTTCAAACACTGGACAGTTGGCAGCAAAATGGCCAGGTTGTCCACAGCGAAGACAACGTAGAGCAGCTTTGGCACGTGCTTTGGGCTCAGCAGCTTTCATGGGAGCAGGGCTATACTTGTAGGTCGCCGGCTTCCCTTTTGGTGAACCACCTTTTGAACTGCCTTTTGACTTGCCCTTCTTGCCCTTTGACGTTGGGCTGGAACCCGGAGAAGTGACACCAGGGCTGATGTTGCCGGCGCTGGGATCGCCGACGGCAACGACTGGCAAAAAGCCACGAGCCAATTGCAATCGCAAATCGGAGAACCGTTTGCGAGCATCCAGGTAGGTCGCATAGGCTTGGTCGTAAGACTCCACATCGTGCCAGGGAGCTTCATCCATCGTCCCATCGTCACCATCGTACTGGTAGTACACGGCACTGGAGTCAAAGGCATCAGGCTCATGCCATTCTTCAGCTTCTTCGGCATCATCAGCTTTGTAGTAGGCTCCATCATCGGCCCATTCAGATTGCCACTCAGAGGCACCATCGTCGTAGAGCTCGTCAGGGTCGTAGTCCTGGGCAGCATAGCCACGGAACTTGTATCCCTTGTGGAAGGGTTTGCCATGAGCACCATGCGTCGCCCTGTAGTCTTGGCCCAAGATCAGGTACAAGGCCTCGACCACCTTCTTCCGTTCAAGTTGAGGAGCACGTAGTGTCACCAATTGGCACTGCTCCTTGGTCAAGTTGGCTTTCCTAAGGAGATGCCAACCTCGCACAGCGTCAGGCAACGTCACATTGGGTTTCTCCAGCTTACGGTGGTACTCATCATGGTCAGAAACAAAACTCAGCAAGGTTTGGTTGGGTTTCCGGGTAAAACTGAAGTAGTTGTCAAAGTCCACAGGCAACTGCACCCGGTCATCATACTGAAAATGTCCATCCAACAGTTTCAGAAGACCATCAAATGCAGATTCCTCTTCAGCTTTTGAAACATCGAAATCTTCAGCCAACCTCAACCTCCAAGCAGTTCCCGTCAAAGAACCGACTATGCTAAGGATTGCTTCACCCCTTCTCTTACCAAGAACCATCTTGTAGTAATACAACTGTATCCGTTTCCTCCATTCCTTGTAGTCGGACGGCTGTCCTGTAAAAGTTGGGATCCAAGAGTCACGTTGTGAGGATCCTTCAGAGGCAGGTGACGAAGTAGGACTTCCCGTCGCCATCCACGGAGAGGTTCACCTCTTCGAATTCAGAAACTTCCAAGGGGACAAGGATAGCTTAGAACAATGCTCGATCAGGTCGTTGCCTTTATCCAGGAAGTTATGGTCGGGCTCGAGGTCTCGCTGGCCGTCGAGCTCCGCTACCAATGCAAAGCACACAATGGTATAGTTCCAAGTGCACAGCCCGCCACCTCACGAAGTGCAGCGGGGACGCTCGAAGGCAAAAAGTCTTTTCCAAGACCACCGGCGCAGTCGCTTCAGCTTAAGCACCCTCCCTATGAGGAAATGGGGACATTGGGCCGTGTCAGTCATACGGGTACTCATGATGGCAACGGAAAACAAGACAATCGCACTCTACTCGACCCAATCGTCAACTGCAGAGATTTATCTAAACCGTTCACCAAAAAGGAATAGAAAAACCCGTTCGGACGTGACATTTCTGCCGGTTCCATCGGTTCCGAGCCTAGCTGATCGAGGAATCCTGGAAGCTCCTGAGAAATCTGGGTGCGGCATCCCTTTTTTGTTGGTGTATCACAACTGCACGTAGTAACTTAGTTAGGGTTGTTCGTGGTTGTTCCATGAGTATATCGAATTTAGACCTGGTTCAGTTGCCAACGATTTATCAGTTCCTCTTCTCAACCCATTTTTGCGATTTGTTAATGTTTGGGTTTTCGTGACGCTCTTAGGACATCATCCATTCTCATTTAATCATATTTAATCCATGGAACATGGCAGGTATCATGGAGGCCTGTCGCAGCCGATCCATCTGGAAGAACTCCCGATCAGTCAGGAAAAGTGCTTTTGAAGAAATGCCTAGATCCGCGGAGCTTGATGGTGCTACAGTTGATATACTGTTGATATCGTTGAAACAGGAAATGTTTGAGCTATAATGAGCTATATGTCTATACTGTGGTTGGTCCATTGTTGAAGAATGTTGGTCGCTGTACGGGGTCTAATTTCAACCCAGTCTGAAGAAGTCTATCCCCCATTGCGAAGCACCAGAGCGGTTGAGTTTGAAGCGGGCAGAACCAGTTCAACCCGTGCAATTACACGCAATAAAATGCATGAAAATCTGACTTTTGGAGTGGCACTGACTCCATTGACAGTTACCAGTTACCCCATCTTTTTTCTCTGCGCCTTGCCATGAAACCCAATTCATTCCAGCATATTCCAGCCATCTGCCCAGTTTTTGTCGTGGCACCCATGTCACCTACTGCTTCCCGCATGGCGTCCACTCCCTTGCAAGAGAAGCACGGAACCTGCGCCGCCAATGCCGCTAATGCAGGTTCAACCCCTCCGTTATGGTGGTGTGTAGAGAAAGGCAATCTGCATCTTCTTAGTGTAGGATATTGGAAATTATTGAAGCATGAATAGATTGTGAACAGATGAAAGAAGGGAAACCCTTTCAGCTGGTTGAGACTTCCAGCCAGACTCGACCGCGAGTTTTTCTGGCTGCTCCTGTCACCATGCTCCACATGAACAAAACCTTTGCGATCCTCCCAGAACGTATGGATAGCAAAGAAACATCAAACTACAACAAACGCAGCTTGAATTGCAATAGTTCCCTGCTAGTCAAAACACTGTAACCAATGTTGCCAAGGGAATCTGCTTCCAAATTCCTTAGACCTTCCAAGCCAAGAGACAGAGACATGTCAGACTGTGACCGGTGCTATGACCGGTACTATGTCACTATGTCTTATAACCAGTGATGGCCTATTTGTGTGTGGCCACCCTGGGTATATAGGAACTATATGGGAAAATATAAGAACTATATGGGAAAATATTGGAACTATAAACCAATATGTTGGAACTAACAGAAAGAAATGCAGGAACTTGAAAAGACTGGGTTGTGCTGAAAGAATTGCACTTAGGTTCAGCCTTTTAAGCTGGCACAAACATTTACAGAGATGTGGGCATTCATACCCCAGACCCCAGGATCAATGATGATGTTGGAATCAAAATCAAAAAATTTTACAGTAAATAGCCGGCTTATGTTCTAAACTATAACTCGGTAGTTTTCTCAAAAGATATGATATAACGTAGGTATATACTTGTATACACATTTAAAAATGTATTGTAAAATTGTATACAAAAAATACATAATGTAAAAATTGTATGTGTGTAACTAAATATAAATAAATAAATAAATAGATAAATATATATATATATATATTGATATATATTGGCTAAAATAACGCAAGAATCCAGTTTTGCGGGAACGGTCGCGACGGTTCCCGACTGTAATCTTGAATACAGCGTGGAACGGTTGCGACGGTTCCAACATTATATTTTTTTTGCAGTTTCCACAAACGGTTCCGAACGGTCGCAGACGGTTCCGGACTATATCCGTTTTTTAAGGGCTATAGCATGGAACGGTCGCGACGGTTTCCGACTGTAATCTTGAATATAGCATGGAACGGTCGCGACGGTTTCTGCCTTATAGCATGGAACAGTCCTGACCGCTAAATCATATGTTTGTTTCTCGCTTTATCTATGATCCAAATATTTTTTCAAAACATGTTAGTTTCAAATTATCAGCTATAAACTACAAGTTCTAAGTTTTTCGTGCACAGCGTGCTTCAAAAGTTGTCTTGATATATGAGTTGGTGCGACCACATAGTAACTACCATAGTTCAGTGGTATAGCCAAAATAGTATAGCCCACAACAACCTACACAAAATTCCTTTAAGAATATGGGTGGGGTGGAAATCATCAGCAACATGAACAAATCTGCAAGTTGGTTCCTGCCAGTGATGAAAGAAATGCGTCATCGATGTTCTTGGTGTAGCTGTGGGGGGTCACCCGGAAAAAACATCACAGGGAAGGAGGGCCCCGTGAATTAAATCAACGTGCCCCTCGATTCCAAAAACCAGGCAAATTCCAAATCTGGTTTTCCATGCCCAAACGGCTTCTGTATCCCTGGATCTCTTCAAAGCTCTTCCGGCTCAATTTGTGGCCCCGTAAAGCCACATGTCAACCATACCCCTCCAATGCCCAAAAATGGAACCGTAGAAACCGTAGAAACCGTCGCGACCGTTCCTGGGGTTAGAAAATTGCAAAAATTGGCTAGGAACTATACGGAAAATCTCAGGAACTATATGGAAAATCTCAGGAACTATATGGAAAATCTCAGGAACTATATGGAAAATCTCAGGAACTGTATGGAGAATCTCACGGGCTATATTGGAATGCACGAACTGCCTGGCAAATATCAATCTTCAAATTCGCATGCCCTCTGAACATCAGCAACTACACCCCGCTTGGATCTAAACATCACTTTCCAGCACATGGGGTACGCCAGTTCTGTGGTTGGGGTGAAAAAAAAACAGCCCCATGCCGACTCTGAAAGCTAGAAACTCTAAACTTCCAACTTTGGCCTTCCAATCTGACCTATTGTTTCCTTTACTTAACTTGAATTTTGAACCACATCACCACATCACCACATCACCACACCATCATCATCAGCAGCAGCATCATCAGCATTATCAGATCATCAGCATCAGCATCAGCATCAGCATCATCATCATCATCATCATCATCATCGTCCTCATTCTCACCCTCCTCCTCATCCTCTCCTCATGGTCATCATCGTCATCCTTGCTCATGGCTCTTCCTCGTCACATAGATCACAGGTCGTAACAAACCGTACAGCAATCATGTCAGTCGCGAATGGTCAAAAGTTTATAACAGAGGCATCTTCACGATTCAGGCGGGTACAGCCGAGTTCAATTTTGGATGAAATGTTGCTTGTCATTGTGCGTTGTATGTCCTCAATGCTTTCCGTACCCCATTCTGCCAGCGAGGCCGTGTCGTATCACAATTTGTGTGATTTGTTACGTTATTTCATCCAACTTATGTAAAATTCAAAATTTGCAGTTGTTATGATACGTGGCGGTTTTGAAAAGAAAAATAGTTCCGATTCAGATTTCAAACTTATGACTTGTCAAAGGTGTCAAGTTATCAAATTGAAAAACAGTTTAGTATGATAGTAACAGTAATAACAGTTTTTAAGAAAATATTGCTACAATAATTACAGTACTGAATATCTATCATTTTTTGAGTAATATAGTAGAAAGTACAACCGCGCATGCTCGGCCATTCAGAAGCTCCGAAGCCAGGAACATGTATCTAGCCATGTGGCGGTATGCAATATTCAGATGTAGGAAAGCATTCCCAAGTATCATGCACATATCATGTGCAGATTCCGATGCATAAGTTAAGTCTCAGTCACAATCACAGCTCATAGTTGTCCCAAATCCAAAATAGTTCCTGAAGAACTCAATATAGTTTCTGAAGAATTCAATACAGTTTCCAAGATCCCATTTGGATACGTCACAAACCCCTGGTTAAATAGACCAACCCTGGTTATAAACTATGTCCCAAAAAATTGGCCAAACCCCCCAACAAGAGCGCCCAAGTCATTGGCCCCAAATCCATAAACCCAGCCGAGCCCAAGTTGGCACGGAGCCTGACACTCGTAAGAGAAGCCCAGGGTGGCTAACTCCAAACGTTGATCGCCCGCAGCAGTGAAGGCAACCACCTTGCCCAAATCCAACGAACTCCAGCTAAAAAATCGAGCAATTGGTCAAAACCATTCCGAACCTATGATTTTCCCAGGTATATGAGGGTTGGAACAGGATGAACATCCAAATTTACACCAGCCGCCTTGGTGTGAGCAGATTGCCAGGGTGAATTGACCCACCATATAAGACTCAAGTTTCTGCTTATTGGAAGCCAAAGACCTAATATTCCTCAGATTTCCCAAGCATGGATCCAGGCCACGTGGGTCAATTACATTCACTACTGCTGGAACGCACAGGTTCTGGAACGGAACTGGATTACATTCAGTTGGGTCCAGGATGTGTACACTCAAAATGGTTGCAAAATGATACGTAAATTGGAGACTTCTGTTGCGGTGTAACCAATAGCACTTCCTGCATCCGCCTGTTGCGCGCCCAGGTAGCGGCTGCGGTTCGGATAGCGAGCTTTCAGCACCATGCCTTGGTAATGTTTCTTGCAACTGTCCAACAAGTAACGAGAAAACCCTGGTGGAAATGTCACCAAGAAGTAGAGCAAAATCAGTTTCCAATAAAAACGACTTCCGGAGCTCGTTAACCAGTGCTTTGGATATGGTCCATCTTGCAACACACTCTCACGTCATGGAATCGATGATCAATTCGAAGCAATTCTTTATGCACATGGCTGGGAACTTAGTAGTCTTGCTTGATTGTCTCATATCTTCTGGACATAGATGATTTGATCACATCCACTGCTATGTTGATGAACCCATCAACCAGGCATCCATTGCGTCCAAGGTGCCATCCCTGAAGCCCATCTGCAGCACCCGCGGCCCTTCCGGCCCTGGAGGCGCCATGGAAGGCACCGCGCCCTTCTCATAGAGCTCCATGAGACGCTGAAAACATTCTGGAGATCCTTAGCTGAGACAGCTGAGATATATGAAATTCTTCTGGGTTTAGGGATGCTTCAAATCTTCCAAAAAATCTATGATTGGCTTTGGAAACCTCGAAGGGTATATAGATTACACATAGAAGGATATATATATATGTGTGTGTGTGTATAAATAACTAAAATATAAATACGGCCAAGACAGCGGTGCTGCCTGGGGAAGTGCGTTTTGACTGCACAGGGCCAGTGTTCTTTTTGGGATGTCGACGGAACAGCCGACTGACAGACGAGATTTGTTTCCAAACACACAAAACCCTAAATCCTAAACCCGCAAAACCTAAATCTGACCTGAAACCCTAAGTAAGCATTAAAGTAAATGTTCATTAACACCGTGGTAAAAACCTAAAAAACCCTAAATGAAACCCTAGATAAACCCTAACAAACCCTAAACAGCCCCCAAACAAATCCTAAACAAAACCTAAACAAACCCTAAAGAGTTTGTGACATGATAAACCTCTGAGCGACACACCCCGGCCTGGGGGTATAAATATATGTATACTCGATCGATATATATACTGTGTATATATATATATTATGATGTGATATTTAATTATATTGTACTATACTATACTATAGTATATCATACTATACTAAATATTTTATTTTACTACTATATTACAGCATATTATATTATATTATATTTTATTATCTTATCTTATCTTATCTTATATTACATTATTTTACATTAAATTACATTATATTACATTATATTACATTATTTTACATTATATTATATAATATCATACTATGGTAACCGACAGAATTATGGAAAAAAATAAAACGTTCAACTTAGACAGGCGGCGCCTGCGTCCGATTTTTCCATAATTGGATTTTTCCCCATAAGGGTTCAAAATATCCCGGAAGTGATCCGAACCTTTTTTTTTCCATAATTCTTGGAGGTGGCCATTATTTCCATAATTGATTTTTCCTGTGAAATCAGGGGGCTAGGGCAGATTGACCGGTTTTTCCATAATTATTTTTTCCATAATTAATGTTTGGGGCTCCACCTGTTGGACATGTCATGGATCCACAATTCAAACCCGTTTTTTTTTGGGTTATGGAAGCGAATGGTGAAATGGGGTTTACATGTACATACCCGTATACATAATATTATGTATATCAATGGCAGGCTTTAGGGGCATATACCAGATCTTTAGACACAT